GGAGGTTTCGGTGATGGGACACAATAACTAACTACATTGTATATTGACAAAATAAAAATTTAAAAAAAATAATAAAATAAAATAAAAAAAGAAAACAGTTGGGCAGGAAGAAATTATCCACAGTCATAAGGAATGAAGGCAGTTTGGGTGCAAATACAAAAAGACTGGTAAATTTGGGGATGGAAAAATAAGGAAGCTCTTGTCTGATGACTTCTGTTTTCTCTGTGTCATCAGCTGAGACTGAGGAGGTGGAAGTGGGGAAGTGGGTGTTAGTGGGAAGAGGGATAAAGTTTTGAAACTGCCACTTTGGAATATGGGAGAATAAATTTATACATTAGAAAAGATAGGGCTGAGCCCGTGGCGCACTCGGGAGAGTGCAGCACTGGGAGCGCAGCGACGCTCCCGCCGCGGGTTCGGATCCTACATAGGAATGGCCGGTACGCTCACTGGCTGAGCGCGGTGTGGGCGACATCACACCAAGGGTTGTGATCCCCTTACTGGTCACGGAAAAAAAAAAACAAAAACATATAATTATCATTGAATACATTAGATGTGTTTTCAGTGGACACTAGGGGAGCATCTTTAGTCTCTGGCAAAGTTATTTCAGTATTTCTAAGACTATCTGAAGCTGAGAATTTGACATTTTTGATCCTTAAGGCAGTTCAAGTAGAGAGAGCTCTCTCTCTCTGTCATTCATTAATATTTGTTGCGATAGGCGGTTGTCCATCAAATTATTTTAGTGGTCTTCTGTATGCCCTCTACAACAGAACAGGAAATTTGTAGTTCGGATCCTACATAGGAATGGCCGGTACGCTCACTGGCTGAGCGCGGTGTGGGCGCACCACACCAAGGGTTGTGATCCCCTTACTGGTCACGGAAAAAAAAAAAAAAAACATATAATTATCATTGAATACATTAGATGTGTTTTCAGTGGACACTAGGGGAGCATCTTTAGTCTCTGGCAAAGTTATTTCAGTACTTCTAAGACTATCTGAAGCTGAGAATTTGACATTTTTGATCCTTAAGGCAGTTCAAGTAGAGAGAGCTCTCTCTCTCTGTCATTCATTAATATTTGTTGCGATAGGCGGTTGTCCATCAAATTATTTTAGTGGTCTTCTGTATGCCCTCTACAACAGAACAGGAAATTTGTTAGCACATAAGAGTAAAGAGAGAGGGTGATTTCCTGAGTCTGCTGTGTCAAGAGCTCTACAATGTCATCCAGAACCCAGGTACTTTCCATCTCTTCTGCTCTGTCATCCACAGCGCTGGCTTCACCCATTAGGCTGGTTGCATTTATGGTCATAAAATGGCTGCAGGAGCAGTTACAGTTACATGGTTCCTTGCTCTCATCCAGTGGAAGAGAGGAAAAAAACCCTTTCAGAATCATGACCTAAAAGTCCTTCCTTTTAGCATAATTGAGTCATTTTAGGACTTGAACCAAACCTTATTCTGAGACACCAGGGAATACCATGTGCTGATTGCCTTAAATCTGGGTTACTAAATTAAATCACTGAGCTTGGGGGATAGGGAGGTGAGCAGTTGGGGCAGGGGAGTATTATCACAGTAGGCTCGGGCTTACCAGTTGAGCATGCACCTTGTTCCCCTTGAATCACTTGCACCTACATGAGAGAGCAGTGGATTTCTGAATAAAATTGGAGCTTTGTCAAGAAGAAAGGATGGAATGGATAATGGTATACAGCAAAGACGTATCCACTACAGAAACTAAAGGGCAAAATACAATTGGCATACATAATGGTCCATACTAAAATTGTTTTAAAATACAGTTTTTATTATACTATATCAAAGGCAAACTAAGATATGGAGAAAATATATTCTTTAAAACTTTGATTATTATGAAACCCAATTAGTAATTTAAAGAGACTCTCATGGAGGGAGGAGGGAGAGAGGTTTCAGTGATGGGCCATAATAACCAACTACATTGTATATTGACAAAATAAAAATTAAAAAAAAAAAAAGAGAGAGACTCTCATGAATTTCTGTACAGGATTATGAAAAGTTGTTGAGATTGATTTTCCAGAAAGAGCTAGATGTGGTGGAAAGAGTAAGTATGGAACCTGGGTACTGTTGACAGCACATCTGTGCTGGCTCTGAGTTACATGTGAGTTAGGGCCAGTCACTTAACTCCTCTGAGCCTGAGTTCAGGGGAAAACATACCTGCCTAGAAGGTAGGAATTAGAAAGTGTGAGACGTACCCAGTAACAATGTCTGTCACAATAGGCACTTAATGCCTGACGGCCTCCCAGAAGCAAGGAGTAACATTCGTATCTGTGTTACTAGAGCATGAATGACCATTTTCAAATGATAGGAGAAAATAAAATAAACTTAATGAACATAATTTCACCTTTCTTTAGTAACTTAGGCCCTGAGAATTTGCAGTCATTTTTTAATGTTAAATACTGTTATTGATGTAAGTTTAGAAGAGTCTAAATGTGTAGTAATCCTATAGCACAGCATACCTTACCTGTAGGTTTTATCACTATATGTATATTTGCAGGATGTGGCTGGCCAGTACAGGGATTGAACCCTGGACCTTATGCTCTGACCAACTGAGCTAACTGGCCAGCCCTTTACCTGCAGATTTTAAGACATAAATTCCTGGTATCAGCTTCTTGCCATCTCCTTTAATTTTTTATAAAAGTATGAGAAGCTTAGTAACTCAATTTAAGATTACTTGCTGTTTAAATTTAAGATGAATGGAGCTCTTTGTAATTAAAATATTAACTTTGAAAGCAAAGAAAATAGTGATATTTCTTGAAAATCCATTGTCTACCTTATCATATTTTGGCAAATATAGTATGTGGACTGCCCCGAGGTGCTTTTTGTAAACATATACAAAAATGTTTGTATAATATTTATCACTGGCAAAAAATTATAGAGTGATCTCCTAGTATAATTTTACATTCTAAATTTAACCACCTAGCATTCCTTAGTGAGATTGAGTTTACCTGTGTCTCAGAGTACTTTGACTTTTAATGAATGAGGAACATTCTAATTTTAATCCAATACTGGCCAGCCACCAAAAAAGCCAAAAATAAAAAATAACAGTTTTGGTCCAATACTTAAATTATTGTGATAAATTTTTCAAACATAACCTATTTTATATGGTAAACTTATGTCTGTTCCATAGTTTTGATATTTTACAGTTGCATAAGTTTTTGAATAATTTCTACTTAACGATACTCAAATTTAAATCTCTGGTTTAATGTATTTTAACTGCTTTGTTTGAAGAACCGTCAGATTTAATTTATCATTGTGTACTGTAAATAGCAGATGGTGTAAAATATTATCTAAATTTATCAGAATATTTTCTTTAGAGACCAAAATTTCTTTCTGTATCAAGTGATTTAAGGCAGTGTGTCTTAATGTTTCTCTATCTTTGCAATATTTATAACATTTATACTTCTAAGTATGTGTACTTTAGAATTTTGGTTGTTTTATTAAAGGTGCTTATGTTCTGAGGCTGAATTAACTGTTGAATTGACTTACCTATTTATTTTTAAAGAACGTAATTCATGAAAAAAGGACAATACAAAGAAAGCTATGATTTTTAATTTAGAAAATAGAACTGGGAGATTTTTTTTAAGCAGCAGAAACAAGCTACACAACATGAATAACAATGTACTTTTTAAAGATTAGCAGTTTTCTTTCCCATGAAATTCTGTTTTAAAAAGTCTGACAAAGTGATAGGAACGTAGCTTTTTACCAGGTATCTATATCTGTATGATTGAACATTTCTTTTGAGATCTATTCAGGTTTCCTACCAACTGCCTTTCTCAATTTGTGTCTGCTTTTCATTTCTCCTTCAGATAACATCAGTACTGAATGTATCCTTGTATTTAATATATTTATTGTATAATATTTGTATAGTTTTCCATATAATTATATACAGATTAAAAATGTATATAAAACATATATTATTTTTGAAGAGTTGTTTCAAGTTGTGATTGCCTGACTTGCTTATCTAAATGCTATTTTCCCAAAAGTGAAATTCGGAATATAGCCTGAAAGAATATTCTATTCTGTATATATATTTTTTCCTTCCCCTTTCCTTTCTTTCCTTTTTAAATTAAGTCTTAGTTTTGAGCTATTCTTTGTTAAATACAGTTTTTCTTTGGTACACATTTTTCCATGTTTCAGAGATGAATGTGCATCAGCTTTAGAAGTGGAAACATTTGTAAAGGTGTATTACAGTGTTTGGATTTTATCTTTATTTAGCTACAGCCCCTTCTATCCACATCTGGGACGCAGTAAACAAGCAGACTTTATCTATCCTAAGATGCTACCATTCGAAGGGAGTATGTTCAGTCAGCTTCAGTGCTACTGGCAAACTATTGCTGTCAGTGGGACTAGACCCAGAACACACTATTACCATTTGGAGATGGCAAGAAGGTAGGATTCTTTTTGTGTGTGATTTTTTTTAAAAAACAAGAATACTAGGGTAATATGAATTCTGTATTTAATATTTGCCATAAGTTTGCAGTTGAAACCATTATTCAGTGTAGTCCTACACAGTACACAGCATGTTCCACTTTAAAAGCCCAGTGAAACTGTAAGCTCAAAAATCAGATATATTAATGAAACAGTAATTGGTATTATAAATGGTTCACTGCTATTTCCTTTCAGTAAGAAACTATGTATGTTGTATGTGTTTTTGCTAATTATTAATGATTTGATAGTTTATGGAGGATCTTAATAAATAATAAAAATGAAATGTTTTAAATGATAATAGAAGATCAATACAGTAATATAACTACTAACTACTTTAGACAAAACTTTTCAGTTATATAAAGAGAAGTTAATGGAGTGACCGGGGTAGGTGGGGGGAATAGACATGGTTCCTAAAGTCTAAAATGTTCTTTAGGGCCGACCCCGTGGCTCACTTGGGAGAGTGCAGCGCTGGGAGCGCCGAGGCTGCGGGTTCGGATCCTATATAGGGATGGCCGGTGCGCTCACTGGCTGAGCGCGGTGCAGGCAACACCAAGCCAAGGGTTGCGATCTCCTTACCAGTCACAAAAAAAAAAAAAAAATGTTTTGAAAAAAAATAAAAAATAAAACAAAATGTTCTTTAAATGGTTATGAAGTTCTTTATAACTACACACATCACTTGGGAAGATATGTGAAAAGGACTTTCTACACAAGTAGTTATATCATGTGATAACTAGGCAGCGGGGCAAGGGCCACAGCCCTCTCTTCTTAGAAGCATTTGCATCTTGAGCTATGTATTTTGAAGGGGCTGGCCAGTTAGTTCAGTTGGTTAGAGCTTGGTGTTGTAACACCAAGGTCAAGATTCGGATCCCTGTACTGGCCAGCTGTCCCCCTGCAAATAATAAATAAATGCCATTTATTTTGAATAACTGTTTGATCCTAAATTGATTAGTTTGATTCTTATACTAACCTAGATTTTTTTTTTTTTTTGTATCTTCTTTATTAGGTGCCAAAATTGCCAGCAGAGCTGGTCACAACCAACGTATTTTTGTGGCAGAATTCCGACCAGACTCAGATACACAGTTTGTCTCTGTGGGAGTCAAACATGTGAAGTTTTGGACCCTGGCAGGAAGGGCTCTTCTTAGCAAAAAAGGGCTACTGAGCACACTGGAAGATGCCCGCATGCAGACCATGCTTGCTATTGCATTTGGTGCAGTATGTCCCTTAAAATGCCTGTAGTTACATAAACTGGACTACTTTAAATTTTCTTGCCTTAGATGGCCACATTAATGTTACTGATATGGCACTGTAATCTGTCGATCATGACATGGCCTGGTCAGGCATATATTTTATCTTTCAAAAATCTGATAGTTTCAGAAATGAGGGAGTGGAAAAGAAAGTCAGCGAGAGGGAAGGATTATGACAAAACATTAGGGTTCTTGGGCCATTGCCATTCTTCAAAAGCCTTAATTCACCTTCCAGTCATCATTCTAAATATCCTAAAATCTCTGTTTTCCTAGTAGTTCCTCATGGTCCTAAAAATTTGTCAGAGTAAAAAGAAAGGTAAATTAAGAACACAATTTTTGGTCTGGCCCCGTGGCGCACTTGGGAGAGTGCGGCGCTGGGAGTGCAGCAACGCTCCCGCCTGGGTTCGGATCCTATATAGGCACGGCCGGTGCACTCACTGGCTGAGCGCGGTGCAGGCGACACCAGGCCAAGGGTTGCAATTCCCTGGTCACGAAAAAGACAAAACAAACAAACAAACACGATTTTCAAGTGATTTAAGGGGGTACTTGGGTTTAGGATTTCCTTTGCAGTCACGAAAAAGACAAAACAAACAAACACGATTTTCAAGTGATTTAAGGGGGTACTTGGGTTTAGGATTTCCTTTGCTTTCTATAATCTTAACTCACTGCTTACCATATAGTTGGAAGTGCGTTGGGCCAGTGTCTCTAATGCAGGGGAAGACAGAGGTAGAGACAAGATGAGATTTACAATTCCTGGTCTTGATAGCAGAGGGTTCAAGAGCACTCCTCTCCCCTCGTCTCACTGTATCCCATCTGCGCCTGTGGTTTCCAATCCGTGCGTCTTTCCTTTAATACCCCAGTTTGGCTAGGCTTTATAGGTCCTTTGGTGCATCAAAAAACTATGTGGATTTACTTCATAAGTGTTTATTGGGTATGCAATATCTAAAGGAAGAAACTTATAATTTTAAAACATTAAAGTACACTTAGTTTTTTGAGAAAAAGACGATTGAAAATGTTGGTCAGACCACGTTAAACTTCAGTTGAACATTTTGGGTATTCTTAATATAAGAGCAGTAATTCCCTTCCAGAAGAAAACCCCACATATTCACAAGCTTCTGGCATTTAATATGCCCATGTAGCATAACTTTCTTCACATATAAAGTTCCTAATACCCATTCCCAATAAAAAATAAACTTGAGGACTAAACTGTCAGAAATTGATTTTTTATGTGTGAAGCAACAGTGCAATCAGCAAGAATGTTTTCTTACATATTTTTGAGCATCATCTATGCTAGGGGCTGTTGAAAGAGCCAGGGAAGTAAAATATTGGTTTCTGTACCTGAAGCATTCACATTCTAATTGCAGATAGGCATGAATTAATGATGCTCCTAGTCCTGCATGAGTTAGTGAAATCTGAAAAGCTCCTGCAACTTTGCTATAGGTAATAGTTGTACTTTCTATGGCAAAATCTTTTACTAAACCTAATAAGTTATCTTCACTTCCTCTTCTTTTTTACGCTATTAATTATTAATGACCTTTATTTATTGGGTAGAGGGAAGTAATCCAAAGAAACAGTATATACTAGAATTATAGTATTTTGTAACTGGAAGAAAAGAATTTTTTAAGGTTATTCTAGCTGATAAGCAACAGACCTGTAAAAGGAAAATGTCCTGACAAAGCTAAACCTGAAGTTCAGGTTTTCTGACTTGAGTCCACTGCTTCCCCACCACACCACGCATGCTCTTTTTATCAAAGGTGAGATAACATTACACTTACATAGACAATGCTTATAAGAACTTTATTTGAACTTTTGATGAATTTATCTCCCCCCTTCCCCACTCCTTTTCAGAATAACTTGACGTTTACAGGTACCATCAGCGGTGATGTCTGTGTGTGGAAAGATCACATGTTGTGTAGAATCGTAGCCAGAGCTCACAATGGGCCTGTGTTTGCCATGTACACCACCCTGAGAGACGGACTTATTGTGACTGGTGGCAAGGAAAGGCCGTGAGTCCTTTCTTTTCACACTCATTGAATGTGTATGCATTTGTGGTCTACCTGAGGTTTGTAGTTAGGATTCTAGTTACTTTGAGGCTACAGAGATTAGCCTTCTTTCTCATTTGCTCCCCCTTTATTGCCTTTTTATATGACTTCTGGTCATTCTCATTTCTGGCCTTAAATCACTTCTGATTTTTTTTCACATTTAGATAAACCTAAACTCCAATACCTGGGGTGATACTTTTTCTGTGGGGTGGATAGGTAGTTGTCCTACAAGTTAAGAATTAATTTTCTTAATATCTATATGCTTGTATAAATATTTGCTGAGTAAATGTCTTTACCATTGACCCAGGATTCATCTTGACTGACTGCTCTTTGTTGTTGTTCAACTAGATACTAAGTAAAACGCATCCTGTTGCATTAGGAAAGGATGAGCGGATTAGGGACAAACTTTGCTTTTGTTAAAAGCAAATGTTAAACTGTTTTATATAAGACTTCAAAATTTAAATCTGAGGAGAGACCTTTTTCTGAGTTAATTTTCAGATCTCCCAATAGTAACTAGATACTTATAACTGATTTGCTATCAACATAGTCACACACATGTTGAAATGTGACATATAATTGACTAAGAAGTACATTTACGGGCCGGCCTGGTGGCGCACTCGGTAGAGTGCGGTGCTTGGGAGCGCAGCGGCGCTCCCGCCAAGGGTTCGGATCCCATATAGAGACCGGTCCACTCACTGGTTGAGCGCGGTGCGGGCGCGACACCGAGGGTTGCGATCCCGTTACCGGTCACGGAAAAAGACATAAAGGGAAAAAAAAAAAAGAAGTACATTTACTACAGGCTTAAAAGAACCCACATATATTAAACACTGGTGCAGCAGATTTTGCCTTTCACATAAGGGAAGAATGTATTGTGGTAAACATGGGCATGTTTTTTTCCCTAAGACAAGCAATTTATCTAGCAGAAAATGAAGGAATACATTTTTCAGTTCTTCCAAGAGAAAATTCATAAATGGGTTATATTTCCTCTTTTTCATATGACTCCAACACTGATATTTCCCACATGCCATCATCTAGTCTTGCACATCCCTACACACTAGCAGCCTGCTGAACTGTTTCAGTAGGATATCTTTATAATGGTAGGAAAGAAATGCACTGCTCTTTTGGCCCTTAAATGCTATAGCATGTCATCTGTAATCCTATTATCGCACCTACATTTCCATTATCCTTTTTTTTTTTTTCCTGGCTGGCCAGGATGGGGATCTGAACCCCTGACCTTGGTGTTACAGCACCAAGCTCTAACCAACTAGTTAACTAGCCAGGCCCATTTCCATTATCCTTTTAACATTAAAATCTGTACATCTCCTTAATGAAGAAGTATTATGAGAAAGGCTAATATTAGAAGTAAACTATAAATACCAGGTCCTTATTCTTAGTAGTCTGCATGTAACTTAGTATTTGTTTATAATAAAAATTATTTGTAGTAGCCAATAATAAATGCTTCTTTTGGTTTGGTCGATATGTACTTAGGTCAAAAGAAGGAGGAGCAGTTAAACTGTGGGATCAGGAACTGAGGCGATGCCGTGCCTTCAGGCTTGAGACTGGACAAGTCACAGACTGTGTTCGTTCGGTGTGCAGAAGCAAAGTAAGATGTTCCTTGAGGCAATATGGTGCGGCAGAAAACAGAGAACAGTTATTACTGATTCTTTCAGCCTTTGTAGCTTAATGAATAATACTTAACAAGGCATAAAGACAGATTTGCTTGCCAGTGTTAACTCTGCCTTTTTCTCTGCTGCTTTATTTTCAGTTCCAGTGTTTGTACCAGGGCAATGCATGAGGAAGCTATTTTGTCTAAATGGTGTATTTAGGGCCGAGCCTGTGGCGCACTTGGGAGGGTGTGGCGCTGGGAGCACGGCAGCGCTCCCGCCCTGAGTTCGGATCCTATATAGGGATGACCAGTGCGCTCACAGCGCTCACTGGCTGAGCGCGGTGCGGCCGGTCTCAAAAAGGACAAAAAAATAAAAAATAAATAAATAAATGGTGTATTTAAACCTCCATTTTTTCATGAATCTGCTAATTCAACTATGATAGAACTGAAAATCCTTGCTACCTGGCTTATTTTGTTTAGAGCAACTGTCTCTCTTTTTTAAAAACATACTTTCCTATAAAAAAATTTTGAACATGGTGCACTCGTAAGTGTACTTATAAATCATATACATGTATTATCTTCAGTCTGCATATTAAATTAGTTAAACTTACTTTTACTTACACTTTTTAACTAAAAAATAAATTCCAGTACTTTCTTCTTATATCCCAATGTACTTACCCTCTTTGGAGATCCTAAGATTATCACAGTCGAAGTCAAAACTTTGTTTATTGAGGAATCGAGGTGTATTACCATAGAGAAAAGTTTTATTCTTTAGCTTAAACTCTAACACACAACCCAGCCCTTGCAGATGTGTGCCTCTAGTCATAGAAAAATTTGCATGAGTTAATGATTGGCTTGCTACCAGACAAGCTCAAAGTAAAAAGTTCTCTATAAGTAAACCAATAGGGTCATTCTTGTATTATTAAGAACTGTTGTATTACATTAGTTGTATTGGTCCCACTTGTGTTTCAGGGCAAGATACTAGTTGGGACAAGGAATGCTGAAATAATTGAGGTTGGAGAAAAAAATGCAGCATGTAATATTTTAGTTAATGGCCATGTGGATGGACCAATCTGGGGACTAGCAACACATCCTTCAAGGGATTTTTTCCTTTCTGCTGCAGAAGATGGGACAGTGAGACTCTGGGATATTGCTGATAAAGTATGTACGAACAATTTATTAAAATATGTTACAATTTCTTAAAAGGAAACTGGAAGTCCTAAATTGCTAGCACTGAAAGAACTATTTCATAAGTATATTGAGAATTTGGGGGGGGGGGAATTGGTTTAATTTGTAAGTACTTCACTTAATGTAGTTTTCTATGACTCTTTTGGTTTTTATGCAGAAGATGTTAAACAAAGTGAATTTGGGACATGCTGCTCGTACTGTGTGTTATAGCCCTGAAGGAGACATGGTGGCTATTGGAATGAAAAATGGAGAATTTATTATTTTACTAGTAAGCTCTCTAAAAATATGGGGAAAGAAGAGAGACAGACGATGTGCAATCCATGACATCAGGTTAGTTAACAAATGGAATAGAATTTTTGGCATATACTTAAATGACCCAGCTTGCATTTGGAACTTTCCTTAGCTACATCTTCAGAAAAGACCCTGAGGACCTATAGCATTTTACATCAAAAATTGTATGCTGAAATATGGCTGTGTGTATACTTATTTAATTCTGCTTTCTAAATTATAAATCCACTGGGCAGCAACCACAGTGCCTTAAAATAGCAAGGGCAGTACAGGTAATATTTGACAAGTGTCACTAGACATGACCAGTAAGTTCACTGTGTCAAGAATTATCTACCACTGTACTACAAAATAGAGCCATCTACCCTTCAAAAGTTGTCACCCTGGAAAACTAAAGTTATAGCTCAAACATATCTTATTTCTCTTAATAACATCAGTTTTTGAATATATATAGTTGATTCATTTAATCAGTACTCATTGAACATCTACTATGTCCCAGAATCTGAATTTAAAGTTTTTGAGCCTTTATTTTTCAGTGCTTAAGCTCATTTTAACAGTAGAGACTACCATTTACTGAGCACTTTTATGTGATCATTAGGTAAGATTATTGAATCCAGGTCTGTCAAAAGTTTATACTCTTCAACAGTAAAATCTTTTTACAAATGAAACATTCCTCAGAACTTCAATACATAAAACAGTAACAGTAGCTTACCTTAGCCCCCACATGTCCATCCCCAGGGTACCTTAACAAGACTCATGGAGCATTTTCAAGAGACTGAATTGTCCCATACTGACTCCCATGATTGCTAGGCACATGGTATTTCTCTTTGCCTTTAAAAATAAGTCCTTCTAAGCCTCAAATAATGTCACTTCATCCTAATAACCTAAGTTATGCTGAGCTGTGTTCTTCACTATTATGACACCATTTTTCCAGATGAAAGAATCCTGTCTTAGTGAATTATGTTAACTTAGTAATTATGTAATTTTAATGGTTTTTTTAAAAAGATATTTTAAAAGGAATTGGGAGATGACAATTGAGGAAATATTTAAAATTGAAGTAAAGTATAAAGTTTTCTTATTTCGTGTAAACAAATCTCAGTTTACATAATCAGTTGTGTCTATCAGGTAAATCTGTTTGAGGCCATATCACACACAAACTTATTTTCAACAGCTAGCCAGGAAAAGTCACTGATCTTAAATATTTATACTATTTTATATGGTCTAACTCATTTGTTACCTGTTTTGTTATGTATTTAGATTTAGCCCAGATTCCCGGTATCTGGCAGTGGGTTCTAGTGAGAACTCAGTGGATTTTTATGACCTAACATTGGGCCCCACCCTTAACAGAATCAGCTACTGCAAAGACATTCCAAGCTTTGTCATTCAGATGGATTTCTCTGCAGATAGCAGATACCTCCAGGTACAGTACCAATACCACATACCCAGTTGACAAGGGTTGTTCTGCTTTTATATTTCCTGTTAGTGAATGCATTTAAAGCTTCTGAGTTCCAGAGCTTCTCAGCTCTTGCCTTTTACTATTATTAGGTTTCTGTATTAATTCTGTAATACCTTATTATTTTTTTTAAAAAAAAATAAAATTTACTGTGTGTATTTAAGGTATACAACGTGATGTTATGGGATATACAGTAGATAGTAAAAGGGTTACTATATGAAGCAAATGAACATATCCACTTGTTTTTGGAGCAAGAGCATCTAAAATCATCTCATTAACATGCATCCCAAATAGAGTACAATTTTATTACCTATAGTCCTCATGTTGTACATTAGCTTCCTAAAGTTGTTCATCCTACATATCTGCTACTCTGTGTCCTCTGACCTACATCTCCCCATTTTCTCCCTACTTATCAGTCCTTTTCTCCACTTCTCTAAGTTTTTGTAGTGATCTCTTACATTCTTAATACTGTTACATATGTAAATCAAGTAGCAACTTGCTAGTATTTTATAAACCCCTTATGGATTTTGCCTCTCACCTAATGGAATTCTTATCTCATTTTAATATGATGAAAGGTCTCCAGTGGCTGCTATAAACGGCATGTGTATGAAGTGCCTTCAGGAAAACATCTTATGGATCATGCTGCCATTGACAGAATTACTTGGGCTACATGGACTAGGTAAATATTTCATATATTCAAAAGGGAAGAACTGACTTTGAAGGTCAGTTAGAATAATTTGAAAATCCTATTTCTGAACAGTTAGAGCTATTCCACTAGGGAATACTAATTGAGTTTCAAGTTTACCGTTACTCTACCTTGAATTCCTCTTAGGAAGAGAATAATGGTGTGCTCATGTGCAATCCCTTATGATTGAATATATTCCATGTTTTATCAATTTCCATGATTTATTAAGTTCTTTGAAGGAAATCAAAGTTATAACCTTAAAGATGCCCTGATTTTTTTCTCAACATTAAATTTAATAACAGGCAATGAAAACATAAATTGGGGGCCGGCCCCGTGGCTCACTCAGGAGAGTGCGGCGCTGGTAGTGCCGAAGCTACAGGTTCGGATCCTATATAGGGATGGCCGGTGCACTCACTGGCTGAGCCCACGTGGTGCAGACAACACCTTGCCGGGGGTTGCGATCCCCTTCCTGGTCAAACAAACAAAACAAACAAAAAAAACCCCATAAATTGGGGGCTGTTAATCAACTGTATTATTTATCTAAAGGAATGCTATCTTGAAGCTGTTAGAAATGAAATGAAAGCTTATAAATTTGTTCAAACTTGCAGACTGTGTGACAGGTACCCATCTTTTAGTCAAAAATGCCATCCAATTCCTACAGCATATGTATCACTTTTAATTTAAAAAATAGTTCTATTAGCTCTCATAAAGTATTAATTGAATTTTAAAAGGATTGTTTAATCTATAAACCCTTTAAATTATAAAATTTCATTTTAAAAAGGTGGGAGTTAATATCCAGATGAAATTCTAGCTTCTAAACAGCTTGCCTTGTCATAATTTACTCCTTGTATTTTAAATAACATGATTAGGTATTTAAAGTTTAATTGCCAAGAAACTTATTTTCAATATGGTGAACCTGTCTGGACTTGCTATGGTAGATTTTCTTTTTCCTTCCCTCTAGTATTCTAGGAGATGAAGTTATGGGAATCTGGTCCAGGCATGCTGAGAAAGCTGATGTCACCTGTGCCTGTGTATCTCATTCAGGAATCAGCCTTGTAACAGGAGATGACTTTGGCATGGTTAAGTTATTTGATTTCCCATGTCCTGAAAAATTTGTAAGTTTGTGTTTGGTTTAGAATTTTAAATCATTTTACTCCCAATTTATATGTCTGATCATTAGTACTTTTATCCATGTAATTTAATATTTAAAATGTTTTGTCCTGATTTGCAAAGCTTTAAATTTTTATTTCTAAAATTTTTTCCCACACTTTCCTAAATCTATTACCCCAAAATAAAAGCAATTAGAAGGGCTAACCAGTTAGCTCACTTGGTTAAAGCATGGTGCTGACTACACCAGGTTCAGAGTTCAGATCCCCTTACTGGCCAGCCACCAAAATAAGTAAATAAATAAATAATAAAAGCTATTAGGAACAAATCCTCTCCTACCAGTAATGCCATCTTTGGAAACTATGCTGATAAAGGTGTGATTTTTACTAAACCTATGATCAGTTATCAAATTTCAAATGCTTTTCCTTATAAAACTTTTCAGAGTACCTGGAGACATCTGTCTGCCTAAATAACCTGGTTTGTATTAAATGCAGATCCATTAAATGCATTCTAATCATTCGCTGGGATCCTAACTCCTTACTCTCACCACAGCTCTTGTGATAGAGATTATGGTTCCTAATAGGAACCTTTGACTTGTGTGTGCTTCAAATGCCCTGAGCTTTGTCTGTCATTGTTTTTTAGGCAAAGCACAAAAGGTTCTTGGGTCATTCACCGCATGTGACAAATATTCGATTTACCAGTGGTGATCGACATGTTATTAGTGCTGGAGGTGATGACTGCAGGTTAGTAACCTTCTCAGCCCAAGAAGAGCTTTTACCAGTTAAGAGATTTAATATAACTTCTACAGCTTTAGTTTATGAACTCAGCTAATCATTATCAGGAAGCAGCATAAGCAGACAGTTCCTGAGTCATTTACTTATGCAAATAACAGAATGATTTGAAAGTTCAAATAAAAAACATTCAGCTGTTCTGAAAATCCAGAAATGTAATTAACTCCCTGCAATTGTTTTTTTCTAAAAAGTTACTAAGGAAAAATTTTGCACATGAATGATTTGAAAGTTCAACTAAAACATTCAGCTGTTCTGAAAATCCAGAAATGTAATTAACTCCCTGCAATTGTTTTTTTCTCTGATTGCAGTTTATTTGTCTGGAAATGTGTACATATGCCTCACTGAAAGATATGGATGTTGAGAAGACTACACAAATTAACAGCCTTGAGTGACCAGAATTAGAGGAAAAAAACCAAAACCAAACTGCATGGTCGAGTGGTGCTAACCCAAGGTTGTTCACAAGGAGAAATGTCCAGTAATCATCAAAATAGTTGAAGATTGATAAATTCAAAATATTGCTATATGTACTGGATAACTGTCCATAATCCATACACTGCCAGATAATTACATTTCAAGGAAGGATTAAATAAATACTTGATGGTAAAAGCCAGCCCCGCTTTCTCAGGGAGTGTGCAGTTTTGGCAGACCTGATGTGGAGATTTAGAGTACAGCACTCCTCAAAAAAAAAAAAAAAAAAAAAAAACCCCCAAATTAAAAAACCCAACTTGGATAATCATTTTTTTTTTTTTTAGTAAAACTGTGTTTCTTTTAACATTTATACTTTATTTTCAAGTTTCATTGTTTAATGAAAACATTAAATTTAAAATTCAATTGTAAGGAAAGGGAAACCCACCATCATCCTAAAGGATCATAGTTTTTAAAAGGCAAACATTATAGACAAGCTTTCCTAGAGAATATGATGTTTCTTAAGCATCAGTAAAGTCCTTTTTTTTTTTTTTTAAGGACACTTTTCTCCTAGCAGTTCTGAATTCAGGAACAGATCCAAAGTTAGTAGGACATTTTCATTAGTTAGTGCTGCATTTTCATTTTTGAACTGTCAAATCTTTTTATGTTCAGAAGCCATCTTTATAATTGAAAATTTAAAACATGACTGTAGCCTCATTAATGGAAAGTAGTATGATGAACAATTTCCAACGGTGTACAGTTTTTTTTAAATGTTTTAGATAGCAACAATATTTAACTGGAAGAGAATATTGCATATTTAAAGGTATAGCCTAATTTATAGACAATTAACATATAAACTAAAGCATTAAATTCACATTTACAAATTTGAACAATTTAGTAACTCTTGGAATAAAATTTTTATAGCTTTTTTCTATTGGGGAAAATTTGTTTAGTTAGATGTATGCCACCCAATAGGCTAATTTCCAAAATGAATGAATCCAGGTACATTTGTAAAACTTGTCAGTTAGAATTCCTTTTTAGTGGATTGGGACTGAATTCTTAGATCCTTATTCCTTTTCACTTTAAATGCTGCCAAAGATAAGTACCATTCAGGAATTTGCTGTTTAGCCTATCTGTAGTTTCCTGAAGATTGGAAATAATGCAGACTGCTGTTTAAAAATATATTTTTCTAAGTGCGAAGAAGTTTAAGATGCTCTATTGGTCCTATGAATTTTTATTTTAATGTGTTAATTATCTTTGTAGAATAAATCCCCTGAGGTTTCTGGAATCCTCAATTTAGTTTAACAAGACACATAAAAATTCCTAATAGCTATTATTTTCTATGTCCAACACTTTGTGAATACTAAGAACAGAGATGACTAAATTATATCATAGAAAGCCTAACCAGTGATTGAACCTGGTCAGTTTTAAAGTTCTGAATAGCTGTGTCTGAAGGACTGATTAAGGGGTTAAGAAGCTTGAAACATAAGATGGTTTTCGTTATTCACATCAATGGATTCTCCTAAAATAAGCCAAATTTTAGAATATATAATATTAAACTTCTAGTTCATGTACTCTATAAATTAAAGACAATCAATAAATTAAAGGAAAAAGCTCCCCTAAACCACTCTAAGAAAAATACTCCAAATTTCAGCCTGTTGCAGTTTTAAATTTTCCCTCTGGGTCAAGTTTGCCAGCTTTTGGGCTACAGAGAAATTCCATTTCCTTTACAGTGCAGGCAGAAACTCTATAACCTTAAGTAAACTATGTAGGAAAAAGCTACTTATCGCATTTTTGTCCTTCAAAGTGGCCAACCTGGTAAGGCAGCCTTAATCACTGCTGTAGTCAGTTTCACAAGTGAAGGTCATGTTGGCTTTAAGTACTCATCCCATGACCACCTTGTAGTACCAGCCATCAACTGAGGGAAGGTGAAGAAACATGACAGGCCATGTAGAATCTGCTATATATTTTTTTAACCCAGAGAATTACTTTTGTGTGCAGTATCTGACTAAGCTCCTGCATTTATAACCTGAGACTTCCAGCACCTCCAGTCCTGTGTGCTTTATGTATATAAATGCACACCAGCACACACTGTGCACTCTGGTAACACTCGTTCACTTTGTATTGCCAACCATGCTCATTCCCTTCCTTTTTTGTGATTCTTTTTTTATGGTGGTTCATTTTAGACCAACTTATCCAACAGATGTTTTAGGGTCAACCTTAGCTTGCCCCAAAACCACAGCAACTGAAGGGTAAGAGTAACTCTTAAATGTGTTTCCAGGCAGTGTCTATAAAATAGCAAAAAAATTTAATGTGTTATTTCCCTATAAAATGGCTGAACTAAACCACTTAAGCCCTTGTTTCCTACTTACGTTCTTTAAGGTGGAATTATGAGAACGCAACCATATACCATGTATAAATAATGATAGTTAAAAGTTTGTATTTCCAGAAATCTACACAATTTAAAATTAATTTATTCTTCTACAGAGATGCAAAGCATCTCAAGTTAATATTGGAATGAGCAAATAAATGCCTTAAATTCAATGGAGTAAAATCTTAGAATGAAATGGAATTGTCATTTCACCCAAGTCTAACACAATAGCCCTACACTCTTGGGTGCTCTGTCTTTGCTCTTCTCGTGTTTCAAGTCTTTACTTTGGGATCAGCACAGCAAAGTACGACTTACCAAATGGTTTAATGACTGGTTAATTTTTTCTTCTCCCAATGAAAAAGCAGTGGCCACAAAACAGTAAACTGCTGGCTTTATCCTCTCCAACATGTTCTTTTACATGTGGGTTTATCCTTTGGGTATATGACTAAGCAAGTCGACGAACTCTTTTTTTCACTTACTTTAATATGGTCCTGAGAATGTCTGAGTCTGTATTATCCCTTTGCATTAATTCACTTTTCTAACCACCTTTTAGCTTTAAAAACACTACTATACATCAAGTCTTTGAAATTAGTGCTCTGTTTTGTTATAATTCTAAAGCATTTGACACTTCTTGCCTTAACAATTTTAAAAATCACACTCACAACTCTGTAATTAATACAGTAGGCCAAACGTTTCATCCTATTTTGCAGTTACCCATCTGATCTCTGTAATTATATAGTTGTCATTTAAAATATACTATTTAAATCTAATTTTTACATTTCAAAAACTATCTTCAGTAGTAACTAAGTATATTTTCTGTGGAGTTATTTCTGAGAGAATGTGAGAATATACATGTATATTTATAATCTTGTGAGTTTAAAGTCTGTTTTCTGATACCTGTGTATATACTTGTAAAAAATTTTCTATAACTTTGTGATAATGTAGTTCCCAAAAAATTTTATTAAAAAAGCATATGTTAATAGTAAATGAAAGCATTTTAAGGAACTGTTCATATTTTTTTCATTTATCATTCCAACTGTTTTCACCTTACACACTCTATCTCACTTGTCTTTTCAGAGAAGGTGAGGGACTTGGGAACTCATTTTACTAAAGTGGCACTCAACCTCCAAGAGGCCTGTACTATCGCCCTTTCAAACCAAATTCACTGAAAAATTGAAAAGCAGAACTGAATGACTATTTTAAGCCACATCAGTACTTTTGGCCACTCCTGTTTGCATGGTGAATCATGAACCACAATAATCTTTGGGAAATGTGAAAACAGCAATTCAACTTTTAGAATAATGACACTTGCCTCACTACATCTCTCTATACACAGAGCAATGATGTGGCCCTAAACTGTAGTACCATTACTAACAATGATGTCACACTATAAATGCTGATACTTAAAACAGCATTGCACAAAAATGCCTTAAATGTTTTAATTAGAATTTAGCTTTCCCTTAAACTGTCTTTATAGTAAAAACAAAAGAAACACCTAATGTTAAAACTACTTAATAAACATACAAACTTGAAAAATTAGACACTTCAGATAGACAATAAACTTCATATTTTGAAAGCAATATATTCCAAGTTTCAAAGATTTGACAAGTTCTGTAGAATATCTTTCACCAGTAGATGGAAACTTTCAAACTGCATCATCTTCTGCCGGGGAGAACTGGGTGTCATTCACTGAATAAACAGAACCAAACATTTTTTTAATTAACTGCTTTGCATCCAAATATACCATACACCTCAGCTAAGAAGTTGGGTATTTTTAAACAGTGACTATTTGGTCTAATATAAATATCAGATTTCTTAAAAGAATAACTCAATTATATAAGATGGATAAAAGATAATAACACATAAATTTATAAGCCACACTAAAATATTTTGAAATGTCCTTTAATATTTTACAAATACTAATGTCTAAGAAAATTTGAGGGCCGGCCTGTGGCTCACTCGGGAGAGTGAGGTGCTGATAACACGAAGGCCACAGGTTCGGATCCTATATAGGGATGGCTCGTTTGCTCACTGGCTGTGAGCATGGTGCTGACAACACCAAGACAAGGGTTAAGATCCCCTTACCGGTCATCTTTAAAAAAAAAAAAAGAAAATTTGAGATTCATAAGCAGTACATACATAAGCTGCTAGCCTTAGTATGCTCAGGATATGATCAGAAGTTAGAAAAAACTGATCTGGACATGATCTAGGTAAAAAAAAAAAAAAAGTAACCACTGGATAAAACAAAATTTGGTCTGTGTAGTAAATTATTTGCCAAAGGACCCTTGTATAATTAAACAGCAGAGAAAAAAATCAAAGTAATAGTTTAGTATCCCCCAAATTTGTGTGCTTATAAATTTAAAAACTACATATTAGGAAAGTAATTGAAAATGACACTAGAAAAACATTTTAATCTTTACCTGGTTTGAGGTCGAATCCATTTCAAGGCATGTCGTGGTGGTACAGTAATAGTGGGATGGTAAAACGTGCAGTCTGGTCTTGTACACTGGGTGTTAAATCTACAGTGCTGAATAGAGAGAACAGAGCTTCAACAACATCCACAAGGCTAATACAAGTAAACACACGACAATGTAGGATGACAGTAACCAGCCCACCCTACCCATTAACAGGGTAAGAGATCCTGTCTATAATGTTCATTTTAATATTACTAAAGCCTTGAAAAAGGAACCTTCCCTCAAAGCTTCATTTTGACACAAAATCCTAGTCAAAAAATCACAGCCTGCGAAATTTCAGAAGAAACCTTTGCATATAACACAAACTTCTACTCAATGTAGTAATCATCTCTGCATACCCTGCCCAACATCCCTTAACACACTTTACCGAGTACCCTCATCTGGGCCCAGTTACAGCTGGGGGAAGTGAAGGCCTTTCATACAGCGGTCAGACTGCTAGTTCAGAGCTCATTC